TGCAAAATGGTTGCCATAGCTTTGGTTCCTTTTTTTAGTCCACACTTACCCTGTACTGACTTTTCCAAAAACTGACCATAACAGAGACAATGTCCTCTAGCATTTGTTTACATCATCCCTCTTCCTGTTGTTTACACCTCATTCCAGTTCATGCTGCCTTTTCTTCCCCATATTAATGGCCATTTTCCAATTAATCTTCACCAGTGAAATTTCTTCCTCTTGGTTTTGAAGGTACAGTCAGATAGAAAAGTACTGGTTCTCCTGTCTCCAGGAAGATGATGAAAAACCTTGCTTTACAAATAGCCAGTGCATCTGCTGTGATTGGGACCCACACTGACTTTATTTTCCCAATCATATTGAGTGAGCTGAAGGAAAAAGAAGGGCAGCAAGAGAGTATTAATAGATTCTTGTGGACTGTGATAGATATTAAGGCCTGTAACTGTGCTGCAGGAAATCACTCATTTACTTGCCTTTCAGTACGACTTTCTAGAAATAGAACCCTTTTACATTATTTTGTTCCTAAGGATATAAAAATATATACATTCTAATTGGACTTTGGAGAAGAAAAATTAATAAAGACAACTGCGCCATTCCCCATTAGTGCAAATGCCTGCAGTTAACCTGCCTCAAGCACTTTCAATATCACTGAATCCCTTGGGTGGGATTTTCCAAAGTGCCAGCATTAGCTCAGCCCTGCTCCCATTAAAATCAATTACTGACTTCAGCCTGGGAGGAGAGTCCAGAGAGTCCCTGTGGTGCTCTGTATGTTGGAAGATGCTAATCTGTGTGTGTGTTGTTCCTTCCCTATTTTTATGTGCATGGCTGCACAGGTGCTCTGATACATTCGTGAGGGCCAGGGTTTGCCTCAGATGACTTAAAAAGGAACCAGAAAATTAACTGTGCAGAATAAAGAGTAATGGAGGGTAGCAGAGATCATGGAGGCAAGGGGAACTGCCTATAATATGTAATTTCATCGAGTGTGTACTGAAGCCAGCTAATTGCAGCCTCTATGCCCCAATTCATAGAGCAAAACCTTCCAGAAAACGTTTTCAATACGATTTCATATAGTATATTTTCTGTCTATGGAATCCAATTGTCATGGGCAGTCATCAAGGCAAAGAGTTTAGTAGAATTAAAAAAGGGATTTAAGAAGCTTTGTGAGCAAAGACAACATTTGCAGCTGTATGTACCAGATTACAACAATGCAGGGGACAAACAAGCTTCCTGCTTCAGCAGCATAAGCTGATTGCTTTGAGGGTCAAGAAGAAATGTTTTTTTGGCATGTGTTAACCATGCTGATTTATTGAGATGTGTGATGGGGTGGTTTGAGTATTCATTAAAAGGACTGATAATGATAATGAATGCTGTAGATAGATGATTTGCTAGTCTGCAATGCTGACATTTCCATTAAAAAAGAGTATCAATAGTAAGTATGAAGTCCCCTCCCAAGCAAGGCATTTGGCATTGATAAGAGCAGAATTCAGACCTTGGCTATGAACAAGGTTTCATTTCTGGCTCTAAGGAAGTATCTTATTCTCTCATCACCTGAGAAAGACAATGAATGCTTCTCTAGTTCTCAGAGGTGGAATGAAGGGAAAGTGCATAAAGAAAAGAGTGGCTATATTTTCATCCACAGACATTCCATGTTTTGGATTCAGAGCTGTCATCCCACTGTAACTCAGCTGGAATTACCCAAGATTTTTTCTCATTTACACTAATTAAATGAGTCCAGAAAATGTTATTTTCATTCCAGTATTTGTGCTGGTGCTCCTCTGAGCCTGTTCCCCCATGCAAACAGCAGCTGCCTCCCCACCAAACAGTAGCCTTGAGGAAGCTTAGTGGCCTTCAAGTAGAATATGAGGAGTTTCTACAATGGATTATGCATCATGCTGGCTGGCTTGAAACCCCAGAAGCTCCTGTCCAATTCTGCATTCCTGTTACAGGCTACTGCTGTCATCATACCAGTTACTGCAATGTCAGAACTGCTTCAAGATATCCTTGTTTATGAACAGTAGATAAGATCTGAGAGAAGACATTTTTGATGTAAGTCTGGATGAACTGAATTATTGATGTTAATGGCTATGGGTGCTATACCTGTTACTAAGAAATACTGTAATACTTTGTCAGAATTCCCATTTGGAAATGCCATTATAGCTAGGGGAGCAGCAATAGATACAGTATAGATTGAGCAAGCTATTGATGAACAGGAAAGGCTATTTAAGGATTTTGTGCCTTGAGCCCTGTAGCTGGCAAAAGAAATTCATAAAGAAGCAGGTGAAAAGAGTCAGACTGCTCTTCTCCTTGCTAGAGCAGCACCATAGGTGCTTGAGGTTCCATGATGGTACAGTTGCATGGATATTTAGATGTACCTATGCATGCACACACACATAGTTTTGATTGACAGTCTACGTCAGACCCAGCAGGTTGTCACCAAAATAAGAAATTTCTACTGCACAAGTCATTGAGTTTTCTTAGGTCCAACAAAGCAACCAAGGTGAGAGGTTTTTGTTAATTTTGAACTCTCATATTTCTAGCCCTTGCTTGGTGTGTCCTTCATGGAAATTCTCCCAACTGTCTAATGATCCAGAACCCTATGTAACCTTTGCCTATTTAATGTTTTCTTATTCAGGGTTATTTAAATACAGAAAATAAAACCTTTGAAGGATTCAAAATTAAGCTCAGCTGCCAACACAGTGCTTAGCTATAAGTAAAATTGAGATTGATAGGCAGCATTTGGGAGAAGAAAGGGTCAATAGCCATGGAATTATTGCCCTGATTAAAAAAATGATCCATTTTATCCTTTTTTATTTCAATGCAGATATACATTTAAACCAACATTTTAACCTTCTCAAAAGGTTTCACTTATTCTTTTAATTCATTACCTGTTAATTTCATTGGCAGATGTATGACTAAATTTCCTGTACTACTTTGAAAACCTTACCCAACATCTGCTGCAGGTATGTATTCTTTCCTTGGCCTGGGGGAGGATTTTACATTAGTAACTTATGTCTGTAGTTGGATAGTGGTTTTGTAGCATGCACACAGATCCAATCGGATCCTCAAGCTTCAAGTGGTCTAGCTCTGGTCTCTACCCTGCATTAAATCAAGTCTGCTGTCTATTGTCTGCTCAGGCTCAGGGACAACTTAGCAAGTTTGATATAAGGGAATATTTCCACGTGGCAAAAGCAGAGTTTGCAGTAGTCAGCTGCAGCCTCCTTTTCCTTTTGAGAGAATTTCATAGCTGTGGGTATGAAGCTTTGCACACTTCATGGCTGTGCAGTTCCTGAGCTGCAGTGGTGCAGAATGTGAGACTTGGCAGCGCTTCTGTTCTGGGTCAGCTGCCACGGAGCTGCCATAAGGAACCTGGCCATAGCACGCCCAAGTTGCTCCTTGCATTGCCTGTGCTTCCTCCGGCCATCTCAAGCCAGCTTCTGGGGGAGGTGTTGTCATTCTAATCCCTTCAGGGTCACGGAGGATCAGTAGGAAAGTGAGGTGGGATTAATACAACCTCCAGACGAAGTTTAACCTGCTGATAACATCAGACTCATAGTCTCTCCAGTTCACTCTCACTGCGGATATGCAGCAAGTGCACAACAGCACTGAAAACTGAAGTACTTATCACTCTTATTAAATAATGTGATCCCAGACGCCTTTTAATTGCAGAACTTCACAAACCATGAAGCAATGTATCAGTAGCAGTCTAGAATTTGGAACAGTTGGATTAAAAATATTTTATTTGCAACTCCAGAAGACTGCTGTAGTCTCTTGGTGATGAATGCATGTATTTTTATTCCATATTGATAATTTATATATTTCTGCATCCATAACTTTGATCTTAACTTGTCTGGGATGTTGTTAATTTGCAACATTTTATGATGTTGTCAAGAATTTTTAAGTGATTACATGTTGAGGTGAATTATATAGCAAAGATTTTAGATGTTAGAATTAAATGGGTGAACTTTGTTTTTCAAATTACTTAATTGTATGTACACATGAAAATAATTTTCTCCATGTACTAGCTTGTATTTTAAACAGATCTTCATGTTGCCATTGACCTAGCTTGTAATCTCATTGTTAAATTAGTACTTACAGCAGTAAAACAAGCGTCATTTTGCATAATTGTTCACATTTATGGAAAATACTGTATTTTAACTGACTGCAGTTTTGTGCCTGTCAAATAGTGACAGATAAAGTGATCTAAAACATGCCTGTGCTGTGTCACATAGACAGCGGCTGTAGCACGGGGCAGAAGCGTGCATGCCACCTCTCCTGCGCTGTAGCTTGGAGCCCCAAGGCAATAAACTGTATTTAAGCGAGTCTCCCCTCCTATAGCACTACCTGCAGTAGCAAGCAAGTAGCGTTTATTCCATTTTGTAAATAACTTTTAAAATGGTGACCTCGGCCCTGAAGCTGTGGTAGGACGAGCAACGGGGGCAAACTCTCCGTAGCGGAGGCGGCGCGGCCCGCGGCTGGCCCCCGGTCAGCGGACACACGACCGAGGATTTTCGGTAGGATTTGGTAATTTGCTGACAAAAGAAACCTTCGGTGATCGGAACAGGGCACGTCCCGCAGCGCCTTTACCTGCGGACGCAACCGCAGCCCCGAGCTACCTGGAGCGCGGGCAGCGCCTGCCGAGAGCGCGCCGGCCACCGCCCGGCGCGGGCGGACCCGCTGAGCGAGCCGTGGCACCGCAGGGATCGATCGGCACCGCGGAGATCGATGGGCTCCGTGGGGATCGGCACCGGCCGATCGGATCCGATCGGCTCCGCGGGGATCGATAGGCTCCGCGCGCGCCAGCCGCCCCTCGCGCGCCCAACGGCCCCCCGCGTGCCCAACGGCCGCTCGCGCGCCCAACCGTCCCCCGCGTGCTTAACGGCCGCTCGCCCGCCCAACGGCCGCTCCGGCGCTGCGGGTCCGTCGCCGCCCCCCGTGGCTGGCGCCGGTCCCGGCAGGGCGGGGCGAGGCGCGGCCCGACGCCGGAAGTGAGCGGCGGGGGGAGCCCGGAGCGGTGGCGGTGCTGGGGCGGTAGCGGCGTGTGGGGAGCGGCGTCTCCGCTGCTGGGCAGGGACGCGCCTCGGCCGCCGGGCGGAGGCGGTTCCGCGCTCGGCGGAAACAAGGAACGGGAAAGGAAGGGAGCGGCGAAAGGAACCGGTATCGGCGGCCACCATTAGTGGAGGCAAGAGGAGCAGCAGCAGCAGCAGCCGCCGAGGTGGTCTGCGGGCGGAGCGGACCCGGGTGCCGCCGCCGGCAGCGAGCAGGAGCGAACCCGGCGCCTCGCCCCTCTGTTCTGTGGGGCGTCGCCGCTGCCCGCCGGGGCTCCCCGGTAGCCGGGACGAGGTGAGTGGCGGAGCCGCCTTCGTGTCGCTCTTTTCTGGGGGGCGGCGGTGGCAGAGCCGACGGGCGGCGTTTCCTGCCGCGTCCCCTCGGCCCCCGAGCCACCGCCGGGGCTGGGCGGGAGCACCGGAGCGAAGGGGTGCGGGAGGGGCGCGCGTTCACCGGCCCGCGCTTGTGCCCTGCGCCCCTCCACGCCCCAGGCACCATCTGGGGTTTTTTTCTAGAGAGGCTCTGGTGACTGGTGGAGGATTCTGGTATGTGTGTGCCCCCCGGGTTTTCCCCGAATGAGGCATGCCTCGGAAGAGGCTGGGAAGCCAGCCGGGGATGCGCGAGGGATGTAGTGTGTGGCATCCAGACAATGTCAGCTTGGGCGAGTCTCCACCCTGAGCAGCCGCAGGCAGTCGGGTCCCCGGCGCAGGCATCGCCGAGGAGCGCGCTGCCAGCCGCGGAACAAAACGCGCAAACCCTCGTTCCTTGTGCACGAAGGAATGATGGGTTAAAAACCCAACACCAGACCTGAAATCTGTTAAGCCTTTTAGCCATACGACCTACTGAAGATAGACTGGTTTGCAAAGAGCCTCCCAAGCAAGCTTGATGCCTGCGTTGGTTTTAATGAAACTGGGAGTGTGGTTTATTATTTTTTCTGTATGGGGAAAATCATTGATGGTGGGAGGGAAAGGAGGAGTGTCTGTATACACGAGTGTCACATGATCTTGTAAAATTCATATGGCTATACTTATTTTTCTCCTGCACTAATGCTGGTTGTCTTAAGAAGCCACTGACTTACCTGTTCATTTTGGAAGATTTTGTTTCTTTTGGTTTTGTTATCTTTTGGGGCAGAAAACAATCACCTGCGTGTTTGAACACTGTCTCTGCATTTTATAATTTTTACTAGTATTTTATATTTTTACTGGGCTATAGGTGTTTAGGAGATGAACAGTGGTCTGTGTAGTACAATTTATTTTTTACTGGTGGATTACAGGTACACTCCATTTGGCAAATGTAAACTATTTCATATGGCTAGTATCTTTACATTACCATTCATGTGATAGGTGGATGTTTTGTGAGACTGTAGAATCACACCCTCTCCATTTTGAACAAATTGTTTCTTTTTGTCTGTTCCGCCTAGTGCCATTCAGACATGGATACATTGTCTTGTTAAATACCTTAGAAAAGAAGAATTAATTGATTAAGTCTAGATGTTTATTGAAACAATATGTCTAGAACAACAAATCTTCCAATTTTGTTGTCTTTAATCAGCTTTTCTCTGCTGAGAAGTTTCCTGTTAAAATAGAGGAATGGTAAAAGTACTTGATAAATCATCTTGAAGAACAAAAGTCTTGGTCATAATCTAGGGAATACTTTCCACATAAGATCTACAAAGATCTAGACATATCCATATTTAGTACACTGATATCATTCTTGGGTGGGTGTGGTTGATAGTGGAGCACAGAACTGGTTTTCTGCGCCTAAGTTGGTATGTGATTTTTCGTATCACTAGATGATACTCAAATTACCGTACAGAAATCCGTGTTACAGAAGCTTTTTGCTTTCATACAACAGAAAGGTAAGTGGCACCAAGGTATTTATTTATTGCCCTCATACAGTTTTCATTTTCAGATAGCTATTTCCTTAAAATGGCTTCTTTTTTATGCTCAGATGATATACAATGAAGCATCCTTCTACCACTGATTCTCTGACTCAGCATGTGATGACAGTGAGAAAAGTATTAGTAAGAGATAAACCACAGTTAAGGAAGGAAATGCAGTGTACTGGCTATTAATTGCTTGAAAGAGTATAAAAATAATATGAAAGAGAACATTGACAAATTTTATGTAACCTTCAATCTGCCTTCCTTGCGTAGTATCTTGAGATGACTGCTTTCAGGTTTGAATTTAAAGTAGTTTTTTTTTCCAGTGGAATAGCAAGCATATTGACATAAACTGTTTTCAACTTCCTCTGTGTTGGAGTCTGTTCCTTTCTTAGTGAAGTAAGCCTGAGTACAGAGAACACCTGTTGGTTTAAAGTATTGTGTGAAACTGCTGCGATGCCCGTCGTAGGTAAGGGTTCGCTGGGGTTGGTTTTAAGAGGCATTGTTTTCCAAAAGGAAGTCTCAGAGTTCTGGCTATCATAATATATGGGCATTGCCTTGTTTCCCCCAAACCATAAATCTTCTTTAGTGGTTGCTTCTTTATTTGAATTTGTTCCTTCGTCTATTCCTTCAGCCTTAAGTTTTTTGATAGAATCAAGTGGCTTTTCTAGCTAGAAACAGTTAATTCTGTGTGCTTTAAATTGTAGATCTTTATCCTGTGTTAGTCTCATCTTTACTGGTCATACTTGCATTCCTTCTTTAAATGTTTTTCAGCTGCTGGAGAGGGAAGTAAAAACCTATCAAACTGGGACAGAGTTAAATCTGAGTGACTAAGCCAGTTAGGTAAATACTAGGAAGAATGGTACTGAAGATTTCAGCCATTAAGTAATCTACATCACCTTCTTAATAGAAGAAGAATCCAAATCACTTGTGTTCCAAATGAAGCCAAAGGTTGCAAAATAATCGCACTCTGCCTTTTCTGTTATGTTAAACAATAGTTTTATTATGGAATTTTCAGGTAGAACTGAAATAATGTACTCCACAACTTCCCATTAATATCTGTTCATACTGAGGATCCTGCTGATTAAGTCTTGTTACAAACATGTACCAAAGCCAGAAATGTCCAATTTCTGTTTCAGGCCCCAACAATAAGCCATTTTGCCAAGTTTCACACTCTTTCTCTGCAATTGCTGGAATAAAACGTGTTCGTTTCCAGTGGAATCAGGCCATGTCAGATAAACAAGCCTTATAAAAAGGTGCATTCCAGATCTGTTTTATTGCTAAGAGTTAATAATACATTGAAATGACACCAGACTGCTGAGTCTATGTGGAGTGTTTTGTTTCAGAAAATGTAAATTATGAAACAAAAGTTGACATATTGAGCAAGTCCTCTTAAGAATTCAAAAAATACCTTTGATAATTGGCAGTCACAGATTTTGAGTGAGCAGACACCTGGAATGTTTCCTACCTTTAGGAATGTCTACTAGGTTAGGTAATGCCAGTAAAGAAACTTGCACTATAATTGCCCTTTATAGTTGTTCTTCAGATTAGCAAGGGATTTAAATTTCTCTTGTTAATGTCCAAGTGTTATCATGACTTTAAGAAAGTGTCCATTGAAAATGGTATATTAGTTTTTATATGTTAATACTAGAAATTAGTAATAATTGCTCAATTAAACAAATGAGTCCCTGTGAGAAAGAAGTGAAATTCAATAATGATCGAGATTGCTTCTAATCCTTCATATAGGAAAATTCTATAGAGACTAAGAAAAGTATCTGTAGAATATTTTTATGCAACTTGATCCAGATATATTGACTGATATTTTCTGACATTTTAGTGAATTAAAGTCACTGTTTTGTTCCAAGTAGGAGTTTTAGTTATTTTCTATGTCCAGCTTCAGCAGAAGTGTTTTGTGTAAGATGTTAAATAGATTGTTTGTTGAACTTGTTTTTTAAAATCCATCTGTTAGTGAAAAGTTCTTGAAATGTCTTGGTCTGCAAGCTACTGCTGTACTTGTATTGTAAATAGGAAGATGACGTACATAAGGATTTGAAATTGTCCTGACATTAAATATTAGGAAAAGAATTTGTTGCCATCTTATATCATAATGAGTTAGTTGGATTTTGGGGGACATTGGGGGAGGGAGGCCTGGGGATGAGGAAGGAATTCAAGGGATGGTACAAAAATAGTCACAATATAATTTTTAGCCATTACTGAATTTCTAGTCTCAAAAATCCATCAAAATAATTTTAGCAAATGTTGCTAAAAAGGTGATTGAATCTTCATTGCCTCTGGTCTTTTCAAGACACCAGTGTTATAAGGTGAAAGTTCTTATACAAAAATATTATAGGGAGTCTGGTGAGGGAATTACTAACCACAGTAGTAAAACTATTGCATTTACTTAAGTAAATATTATAGTGTTCAAGAACTCAGCTTGCTGGTAAAAATGCACTGATCTTGCACAGCATAAATGGTAAACTGTGTGTAGATTGTTCTTATCTTCTGTGAAAATTATCCAAATTATCATGCCTTATTGCAATGTTAACATTGTGGTGTTCTAATTATTGTATTTGACATCTGCTGAAATGGTCATGTATGGTATGAGGGTACTCTTGTCAAGTGTTTAGAATGCCAAGTTGTGTTCATATAGAAACACCTCACTGTTGTCTACTGTTTATTACAACAGAAGAGCTGATTTCTAGGAGATCAGGATTAGAAAGAAACAGGAGCAAGAAGTGGCATCACTCTCCAGTTTTGTGATGTGACTGCTAAGTTTTATTGCTTGTGTCAGTGCACTGTTGTCTACTGTTTATTACAACAGAAGAGCTGATTTCTAGGAGATCAGGATTAGAAAGAAACAGGAGCAAGAAGTGACATCACTCTCCAGTTTTGTGACTGCTAAGTTTTATTACTTGTGTCAGTGTTGGACTTTCATGTAAAAAAGTCTTGGAGAAGTTAAGTACAGAACCTGATAATTTTTCTCAAATGTAGATCTCATTTGAAAAATATACTGTCAGAAACACAGATACAGAAAAGTGCTGTAGGGAAGCTCATTGGCATCCTTCATCCTCTCTGATAACTTCACCTTTCAGAAAGCTTCAGGAGCAGTTGTAGGGGGCCTGGCATAAACCTTTGTTCACATGGTAGTGAGAGCTCAAGTCCACTGCCTACTGCTGGCATAGGCTGCCACTGCCTGCTGCTGCCAGTGCTGTGATTGTCTCATTGTCCTTCCCTTTTCCCAGAGACTTAGCAGTTTGCTGAGTTGGTACGACTTGTGGTATTCCAGGTGTCTTTTTGTCCTGGGTAAAGTAAATTTTAAAAAAGTGGAACTGTGCTGTGATTACAGTCAACATGTGCAGTAAGGTACTTCTTGTAGTTACTTTACTCATTGTCTTCTTGGCTCTTCCAGTAG